GTGGTGCGCCTTTGGAAAAGAAAAGTTCTATATGTCCATGGGCAAGCCATTCACTGAATTCCAAAAGATACTACATTAAGTATTGTCATATGTCTAAGAAGGTTGTGTTGAGAGGCACCATAAAATCTATAATAATTCCAAGAGAAAAGATCAATAACAAATACACATTATGATGAAGTACTCAAGGAACAGACAAGATCGATCAATCACTACTACCAAAGTTACACTGAGATATCCATACACAAATAGCTTTCACCAGGAGTAGAAGCAATGTTCTACTAAGCTTGGGACAATTTTTAAAGATCCAGGTTTATGAGACAAAACACTAGCTTCTAAACATCTAAAAATATTCCTGCTGCTTTCTTAAATACAGAGACTGCCTCGTTTCTTGCAAATTGTTTGTCTAATTCTGTTCAAGAACATCAGCTTCATTAAGACCTTTAAGTCTTAATCCTGAATTCAGGCTTCATGAGATCTCTGTGGGATGAAAGAGATCAAGAGATCACAGTGCTTACCATTTTAAAAATGTTCTTACAATGGGAAAAAATGTGTGTTGATGAGAATGCAGTGCTGTAGAGAAAACAGGATTAAAAAAATACTAAGTATCACTTAAACCATAGGGTGGGTTGCTAAACTGAAAACCTTGTTTTGTGGGGTCTGATGTTTTTTAAAAAACATTGAGCCAATGTCATCGGATTAGACTAATTTGGTATTTCAGACCTGAGTCATTTAAAAAAGAAAATACAATAATGGTACTTTCTGTAGATGTAAACTATCACCTGTCAGACCAGAAGTATTTCTATTTATAAAAATCTAGTTTATGTTCTGTATATCATATGATTAAGCATTCTTTCACCTTTGCGTACCTCTCTTCTTAAAGATTTTATTTTCTGTGATGCTTTCTTCCTTTATGTGAAAGAATATTTTTAAGACATCTTGGCAAGTTTGATAGTAACATGTTGAATGAATATGCTGTTACATACTATTTTAAACATCTGCCAAAGGAAGTTGGAAGAACACTGAAATATTATAAACTATAATTTTATGAGAAAGACAAAGACACAGAAAAAAATAAATGAAAATCAATAAAATTTGGTAAAATTACAATCACTTCTCCAAGTTGGTTTATAACAAATATATCACTTTTAAGGGAATGGCATATAAAGTACTGAAATTATGAAAAGCATCTAATGTGTTTTAGGTGAAAGATTTTTCCTCATTGGTGATTTTGTTTAATGGTTTAAGAGAAAGAACTAAATTACACAAAGAAATAATATAATAGCACAATATACAGATTTCAGCTCATCTATTTATTCTGTCCTTTTTAGAGAGGGTCTTATTTGCAAAATGCAAGTCACTCTGGGTGACTTCCAGCATCATGTCCACTCTGACATTCCCTGGTGCTACAAACATCTTCCCTCCTTGGTGGTGAATACTGGCAGCAACTGTGGAGTCGAAATGGAAATCTGTAGAGGGCTGTTCTTCAAAATAAAGCAAATGTTGGACATGAGGAGCCTATGTATTCTATATAGATGTACTAAAAAGCCTAGGTACAGTACATTAAGAAGTTTCACCATTCCACCAAGTCTGTTTCAAACAGGTATTTCACACAAAAAGAGTGCCTCAAATAATGACCATAAGAATATTCCTTCTTTGTTAGAAAGTGACCAAACAGAAATGTTCTAAAGGCTTTTTCATGGTTCAGTTACCTCAAACAACATGCCAGTTCAGGGTCTCCACATTCATTTTCAAAGAACTAGAAGCTGCACAATGACTAAGGAGCTGGATCTAACAAGACCTGTGCTAGCTGTAGGATTTCACCATCGGATCTACTTCAGGGATAATACTGTCTGTGTCTGGAGATTTCGAAACAACAGCTGCCTTGGTTAACCTATGCTGCCATTGCTAAGAGTTACAACCTCCACTCTACACTATTTGCTCTAATTGTAAAATAATGTGGATGATCCATTATGATCCTACCAACCTCTAATGGCTAAAAAAAAAAAAGTACAGAATTATTTCTATCAGTTGAGAGCAGATATCCACCTCTACTGGTACATTTTTCAATGTTGTAGTGAAAAAAAAAATCAAATGAATCTAGTTCCAGTCCCAATTTTGACATACTCTAGTTGTGTAATCTCACATGTAAATCACAAACTGCCTGTAACCCTTGGGCTCCTCATCTCTTGGGGTCAGGATTTTGCTGTGCAATCCTAGGGTATGCCAGCACACTGTGCTCCAGAGATGGCACTCACGGACTACAGGTTCACTCTGTGGCCCTGCAGCTAAGTGACATGATGTCCTGCTAGGTCCTATGTTTCCATTTTGTATTTCTGTGTTTTAAAAAATGAGCTCCATACCATTATAATTTCTGGATCTTCCTGTGTTTATAAGGCTTCAGTGTTATGCAAACTAGAACTTGATGAGCTAACAACAACAACAACAAAAGACACTCATTTTGTCAGCCCAGAAATCAGAAACACAACCATGGGTTTTCCCATTAAAAATCTAGTTTAGCCTCAATGCCTCTGCTGAACTTTGCTAAAAAGTCTGATCACTGGAACGTGTGTCTCAGAGACAGAAGCTCAGAGTAGAAATTCTTTATTAAGGGAAACAATTACACTTCACCACTTTAATCAATATGAGTCAGTTTCCAGTTCCTAAAGAAGGACTAACGATTTTAATGAGTAACTCAAATATTAAGTGACTGTAATGATCAAAGTACTTATAAAACGAAAAACAGATTCCTTCTTTCCATGTTTAGCAACTTCCCCCCCAGTCCACTTAAGAATCCACTGTGGAACTGAGATGAAGCAGGTGCTCTCTCTGTATAAATAGGTTCCTCTCCTGCTATGTGAATCTTGGTTGCTGACATAACAATCAGCAGAAGATTTATCTTTTTAGTAATCATAACAACACACTATCATTTCCCAAAAATGTTTCCACACCCCAAACTCCCATTCTTCTGATAAAAATCAGCAGATTTATCTTTTTAGTAATCATAATAACACACTATCATTTCCCAAAAATGTTTCCACACCCCAAACTCCCATTCTTCTGAGTCAAGTAAGCTTTGGAAAAAGCTGAAGTCCTGGGTGTACAAATGCATCTCTGTTGTCTTCTGCTGGGAATATTTTAGCAATTCCTACCATGTCTCTGCCAGGTTGTCACTGTGACACTTTAGCTAAAGGAAATCACCAGTCAGATCCTTCCTGCCAAGATGAGCAGTAAGTGTATGAAAAGGAGAAACAGCTTAAATAAGCACTAGAGAAAACAAGCTCAAAGAATCCCCTATTTTCTCATAAGACACGAACAGGAGGGGCCACTAGAAGCAATACACAATGCATTTCTTCCTAAGCAAAATTAAGCCTTGCAAATTACTCATTTGCAAATCAACTTCTACAAAGATCAAATGAGTTTATCTTATTCATTGACAAATACAACCCACGTATTATCTCGTTAGCTGAGAAGGCTGAGTAGGATCAACTCATGACTATCATATAACTATCCCAACCACAGTACAGCAACTACCTCAGAGACTGAGCTGCATAGGTCTGGTGGGTTCAGAGCCTTGGAATCCCTTGTAGGAGGAAGTTTCCAAATGAGCCCTGTACAACACAAGGGATTTATTGCCCCTTAAAATGAATTGTTTAATACTCAGAGATAAGTCTGCTTTTGCATAAATCTTCACTTTTATCAAATGCACAGGTCATATTAATTGGATGTAAAATATCAAGGACTTTAATAGCTTCTACGGTGAAATCATAATTACTTTTGTTCACTCTTGAAATTTACTACTTTGTAGCCGTCACAGAATACGGAAGTGAGCCACTAACGGAGTGACTACCAGAAAAACTCAACAGAAATTAAACAAAGGCAACTTCCTCCCAAGATTTACTCCCAAATTCCTAAGCTACTTTTGAGCTCCCCTTGAATCTGACCTACTCTACATCATTTGAAGAACTCAAGTGAACACCAGAGTCAGAGCTGCTAACAGGTGAAAGTAGTTAACTTAGTACTAGAGCAGGCGTCCTTCTCAGTAAGTCTTTCCTTCAGTTATCAGTACTAAGGGCAGAGTATCTGCAGATTACAACAGACTCTGCAGCCACACCCAAGGGCTTAAAGCATGAGAAAGCAAGACACTGGCAATTTGCTTTTATTCTCTCAAGGTGTGGCACTGCCTAGCATATGGTGGGAATCCTCACCTTGATACTCAGTTATCAAATTCTCTTCCATAAATAGAGACATTCAATGGGTTCCTTTGAGCCTAGGGTCATGGAAGAACTCCCTTCGTTTTCTGATAAGTCAAATTTTCTTTACTGGGGCCAAACTGCAGCCATTACATTGTTGGCTTAATTTCTTAAAAGCATGAATATGTGGAGACCCGTAACTACACAGAAAAGTTTAGAAGTAGAGCCCTTAGAAACTATCAACTGGTTGGAAGAAACCAGGAGAAGGGGGCTATGTAAAAGGAAGTGGATGGGCTTCTAAGAAAGTGAAGAGTTGAGAAAGTGGGGTGATTGAAAGATGTAATACTGTGTGCTATTGAAACCAGAATAGTATTAAGTTCATCTGGTGTCTATTAACGATCTTGTGTTTATGAGGACTGTTAGGAAGAGCTTTATTCATTTTTAGGTTCTCCATGGGTAGTTTAAGTACTCTACAGGAAGATGGATGGATGGACGGAAGAAAGTGGTGACTGAATGAATGCGGTAGTCACTGCCCCCCAGGGCTTTACAGGGTTTGGGGGCCTAGGTGCATCTACACCAATGACTCGAATCCTGGTCAAACTGTGGATTGGTCAGAGCAGAAAGTGTTTTCCTGAATATGGGACAAGACACTATTAAGTGACACAGGGTGTTTGAAAGATGTCTCGAAATTAAGGAAGAGGACCGACCTGCATGGAAGAAAGGAATTCTGGTTCCCTTCCATGAGCATTTCCCAGATGCTTTTAAGAATGGGGAGAAAGGGTGTCAACCCACTGTCTGGGTGCTACTGACCTGGTCTCCGCCTCACTGGCCTCTTGCGGCCGCTGCAGAAGCGCACTTTGCTGAACACCCCGAGGACGTGCCTCTCGCACAGGGAGCGCCCGTCTTTGCTGGGGCTGGAGCGGCGCTTGGAGGCCGACACCCGGTCGCTGTTGGACTCCCTCGCCTGCCGCTTCTGCCGGATCAAGGAGCTGGCTATCGCTGCAGCCATAGCTGCTCAGAGCGGGCCCCCAGCCCGCTGCGTCGCCGGGGTCAGGGCAGGACCTCAGTGGCCTGGAGGGATGGGGCAGACGCGGGGAGGCAGTGCTAATATTTGAGGAGGTTGCAGTACCGAAAACCTGGCGCCCACAAGGTTAGTCAGAGTCTGGGCAGTGGCAACAAAATGTGTGAAAATCCAGATGTAAACTTCCCCAACCGCTGGCGGCGGGGGCGGGGCGGTCCCAGGCCTTCCGGCGAAGTAGACGTATGTACCCCAAACTTGCACCCCAAGGCGATCCACGTCCGAGGGGCAGTGGGGAGTTTGGTCACACTGCGTTCAGGGTACCAAGTGAAAGGGGGAAAAAGATATCCCAAATAACAAGCCGTGCCCCCGTTGGAGAGACGCAAGCGTCGTAAGGTGTCCAAAGTATATCTACATACACAGACATAGAAAAACCCGTTTACAAAGCAGAGTCTGGACCGAGGCGAGGAGCGTGCCCCCAGTTAAAAAAATAATAATAATACTAAAAAGTGAATAAAACGTTCCTTTAGAAAACGAACCACCAACCGCGACAGAGGAGAGGAAGGCAGCAATTTAACTCCCTGTGGCCCGCGGTTCAGGAGACTAGGAGGTCCGTCCCGGCGGGGTGAGGTCTACGGAATGCATCGCTCGGGCTGCGGTTCTCCGGGGCCGCCCGAGCGCCAAGTGGTTAGCCCGGGCCGGGGCAGGGGCGAGGTGGGGGCAGCTGTGGCCAGCTGCGGTGAGAGCGCCTCTCTTCCAGCAGCACTGCAAAGAGAGCGGGAGGCCGGGGAGGGGAGGGAGCGCGGGAGGGAGGGAGATCCTCGAGGGCCGAGCACCCACGGGAGCAGCCCGCCAGAGGCCACCCGCGGGGTCCCGGCACTGGCGCTCCTTCCCTTCCCGCCTGCTTTCCGGCACGAGACGGGCACAGTTGGTGATTATTTAGGGAATCCTAAATCTGGAATGACTCAGTAGTTTAAATAAGCCCCTCGGAAGGCAACGATGCCGAAGGTGTCGTCCCCAGCCGGGCGCCCACACGCCTTTAGCTGGAGCTCCCCACCATGGTCCCCCCGGGGCCGCCGCGTGAGCGAGCGGGTGTCCGCACCGGCTCCCAGGAGCCTGCGAGCGAGGAGGGGGCTCCGGGGCACCGGATCAGGTCATCGCCGCGCCGCCCGCACCCCAGGCTCCGTGCCCCGGCAGTCGGCAGCTCCGCGGCTGCAGGTCAGATGCGGATTACCCGCCGGCCGCCAGGCTGCTCACTCAGTCCCGCGCCGCCCATCCCGGCAGAGGAAGGAAGTGACCCGCGCGCTGCTAAGCCTCGCGCGTCCGCTCGGGTGGGGCGCGGGCTGGCTGCGGGCGACGTGGGCTCGCGGCGGCTGCGGCTCCCCAGCCGAGCTGCCCACCATGGTCTGGCGCCCGGGCACAGGCGGGTACCCTAGGCCTCCCCGGGCGCCCGCGGGAGGCGGCGGAGAACGCAGCCGGGGCTCTCGGGGCCGGACGCGGACTCGGGGGCCAGGGGCGGGGGCCAGGTGCCAGCACCCAACTCGCCCAACTTGCTGCGCCGCGGGCGGCTGCGGGCCGCTGGCTTGCGGGGCGCCCCCCGCCTCCTCCGGCCCAGGAGGGGGCGCTCAGGGCGGAGTCCCACTCATGGGCTGAGGCTCCCGGGCGCCGCCACCGGCTCTCTGGGCTGGAGCGCTAGCTAGGCAGGAAACTCCTAGCCCAGGCGAAAGCCACCGAGACGGCGGGTGGGATGAGAAGCCGGCGACAGCTGGAGTTGCCGGGGCTTCCCAAGAGCCGGAGAGCGCCCCGGTGGGTTGAGCCGGGGGCTGGGCTCCCAGAGCGCAGAACAGCGCGGCCCTAGGTTCCTGCTCCCTTTCCTCGCGCCCTCTGCTCCCAGACTCTCCTCCCTCCTTTCCGTCACCCTTCTCCCCCCTTTCTGTCTTCTGTCTCTCCCCTTTTCTCCTCTCTACGCAATCCTACGTGATTGAGGTTTGGATGAGAAATTTTCAGAGGCAGAGCGAGGGAACTGCAGCTTGGGTCTGCTGTGTCCGGTCCCTCCCCCAGGAGAAAAACGCATCCGCTGGCTGGTGGTTGAAGGACCCTGGGTGCGCAAAGACGGGGAATGGTGGCGGTGAGAGAATGCAGTTTGCGCTCCAATTACCAGGAGCACATAGCGGTTCTCTGTTCTGGTAGAAGGTGGACACTGGAGAAAGTAGAAATGACCTCTTGGTCTCGTGTTGGTCCCACCTTCACTTCATTTTAGAATAGCAAAAAGTATTACCATCTCTTGGGAATCCAGATTTACTGATTGTGTCTGGAAAGCTACAGAGTAGATTCCTTGCCTTCAAAGGACCCAGTAGGCAACCTTCGCTGAGGGTGAATAGAGGGTGGGGGGTGAGAGAGTGGCATGGGAAGGACAGTGAACGACCAGCTTTGGAGTGCTCCCTTGTCTTTAGAAGTGCTTTGCTGTGACAGCTGATGTTGTAGAAGCAGAAGAGTCATCCACAGCATTAGAGATTCTGGAGAAGGGTATTCACCCTCATTCATGCTAAAGTCTGGGAGTGGCCCTTAGTTACCTTGCCAGTTTCCCTCAACAGATCTTCAAACAGCCCCTAATCTTTCTTCACCAACACTTTCTCTAAGCATCAAAGAGACTGTCAAAGGCTTGGGTGGATGATTTCTAGGCATAGACATGTATATGCTAGAATTATCCTAAGAGGCCAAGGAAGATACCAGCCCTGGAGGCTGCTGAAAACAGGCCTCGACCCAGAGGAGCACCAGGAATTGTTTGGATGTGGCCACAGATGCTGGCCTAGCTGAGATTCATGTGGAAATGAGAAACTGCTATGTGTGAGGTTGGTCGGAGCCGGCACTAGGTCTGACAACCCAACACCACTAGGGACCAGGCCCCTGGGTCTTCCTGATTACTTTCCGGGCAAAGCAAAAGCTGGCAGACTGGGGCATGTGACAGACAGCTTGAGAGGAGGATTAAGCAGGCAAGGTATCCTGAGCAGGGAGCCTTACAGCTGTCAGCAGGGAGCACCTACCCCTATAGCAGCTCAGCTCTGCTGGGTGAAGATGATGGATTCATTCATTCCTGGAATTCAAACAACGCAGATCAAGACAGGTGAAAAGGATGCATACACCTCTCTGCTCCAAAGTGCATCTGGCAGGGCATGAGAGAGCGATAGCTTAAAATCAATTGGTAACACAATTAATTAGGGAAATGTTCAATTTCCACAAATAAAATTATTTTCCTTCCTCTGCTACTGGGAGACTTGTTTCATTTTTTAGCAAGGCAGGCACAGATACTGGCTGGCTTTGGAGGGAAACTTACTTTTACAAATCAACACCCGAAGCAGAAAAAAGGTCAACTAAGGGGAATCTCAAGAGAAATAAACAAGAAGGCTGTGTATAACGAGGCCCCAAGGAAATCAGCTAAATTCAGTTTCCTTTTCATCCTCAAAATGAGGATAATCATCCCCTCTACCTCACAAAAAACAGAATGTGCATGTGTAAGCATTTTGAAAACTGGGAAACACCAAGTGAATAACAGTGACAGCGCCTGTTGATGCATGAGAATCACCTGAGCTGCTTGTTTTGAAAATGCAGATTCCTTATAGTCTCTGAGACTGTGAAGCAGAAATCTCAGTGGTTTGGGCCTAAGGATCAGAATTCTTAACAGGTCCTCCAGGTGTCAACATTTAAGTATTTAATATAAACACGCAATATAGATAATACTAGAAGACTAGAATAAACTAAGACTCTCAAAGTTTGTCACATTCTCCCCAAATTTCAGTCATTTCACCTCCCCCGAGAAGGTACTGGAAGCAGGATGTGTCTTCTCAAATCTTGGTGTGTTGCTGACATTTTTTATAGGCTGTGAGAAGTCATGATGTTTGACAGAGAAGATGCCCCACACAGAATCAAAGGAAAGATGTTATTGATGAGGGAAGAGATAGCGTTTACTGTTTGAAGTTCCTCTCTCTGTCTTGACATGGCACTATGGAGTTAGGCATGTTAAGAAGAAAACAAAACCATATGATGCCAATTTTCTGAGACAGACATTAGTTCTGTCTTTAGATGCCTAGCAAAAGAGTGAGGTGATTGGGACTGGATGAAATGACAAAGATCACGTTTTGCGCTTCAGCCACTGTCAGTGCATTTTATCTATTTGGTTCTAAATCAGCAGCAGCAGCATTTGACTCCCTTCCCCAGTAAAAAAGATAGTCAGTATATGGAAATTTGAAAATTTAGGCCCTGAGTACATGGCAGTTGAACTAAAAAACAATGTGCAAGTTGGTTTTAAAAGAATTGATTTGTAGCTATTCTTCCTGGGACACTGAATCATAAGCCTTCCTCCACGCTTCCCAGGTTATGTCCATATCTCTGTGTTTGTGAATAGGAAATAAGTCAACCTGCTAATGATTGTGGTATCTCAGAGTTATCAATACCTTGATTTGGATGCTGTCATTCTTGGGCTACTTAGAGAATTTCCCTTTCTAATTCTGAAGATAACATGAGCAGAAGAGGTTTTAATTTAGAGAAAGTTGCCAAATACACATCAAAAGGACACTTATAGACTTATATTTATATCTCTTACCTCCAGTCTAACAAAATATAGACAGTATTAGTCATATCCATATTTTAAAATTAAAAAAAAAACAGAACATTTAATTGTCATTGGCTTGCTCACAAGCCAAATCTTCCATCTGCCAAATCTAACTTGGATTACTTCACACATCCATTCTCAACAGTGTACTGAATGCACCTAGCATCCAGAGTGCAGTGTCAGACCCAGGGGAATTCTATATACCTTGCATTCTTCTTGCTCTCAGCAAGCTTAAAGTCCACGGCACTATGTTCATAGACCTCATCTCCATGCATTTTAGCCTATTCAGAGCCTGGGCTTTCAGCTCTTTCTGGGTTCATGTAAGCTACTGGACAAATGAGTCAGCGTATCTAAATCACAACTGTAAAACAGGTAGATGAGAGGAACACTATCAATGCGTTTTATCTATTTGATCCTAAACCAATATCTACTTGGGGTTTCAGAGTATCAAAGAATGTATAACGATGTAATGTGTGAGGATATATTGTCAGCTAGCTGTCCACTTAAATAAAGTCCCTGCTATAAAATGCAAACCTGCCCAAACAGGAAATCTACTTTGTGATTCGCACACATCATCATTCACTCCTGAACATAAGGTATTAACAGGAACTGGAAATCTACCTGAAGTAATTAACTTTGATGTTGTAACGGCAAACATAAGTAGAGTACCATCAGTGTCCTTGCCTGTTGGAAACACAAAGTGTCCCAGCTCTGCACATTCATTTGTCCTACTAAGAGATGAGGCCCTGGACTCAAAGATTGGGAATATGTGATTACCAGGCTTGGTTGGCCACAGCAGGCAGGAGGGGTGGGAGACCTTGTTTCCATGCATTTTACCCTATATAGACCCTGTGCTTTCAGCTTGTTCACTTTGCCAGACTGTCAGTTAAGTAAGCTGGCCAAAGCAACATAAGCAACTACTTTCTAATAATTTGTGAATTCCTTCTATAGCAAGTTCATTCAGCAATTCAACAATGGCATTACTCTTTGTATATTTGTGTCTGTTTTGCACATCTCTCAAAACAGGAAAATGATACATTACATTTCTTTTTATAACACAGATGAATAGTGGTATCTTTGTTGCCCCAAAGAAGAAATCTTCAAGTTTGGAAGAATGTCAGTTTTGATTTGAAAGAAGGCCAGGTGCCTTTAATTCTAGCACTCTGGAGGCAGAGGCAGGTGGTTCTCTGTGAGATTGAGGCCAGCCTAGACTACATAGAGAGTTTCAGGTTAGCTGGGGCTACAGTTAGACCCTTTCTCAAAGAGACAAACAACAACAACAACAAAAAAAAAAAAACAGTGAATGTGACCAAGGACACGTTTTGCACACTTCTAAATGCATTGTAATTATTGACACACTGAATCCTAAAACAGAAAAAAATAAAAAATAAAAAACCCTTTGAGGTTTGTCAAAACTGAAGAAATTGGGATACAGAGAAGTTAAGTTGCTTGACTAAAGATACCAGCTAAGGGGGCTGGAGACATGGCTCAGCAGTTAAGAACACTGGTTGTTCTTGCAGAAGACCTGGGTTTGAATCCAAGCACCCACATGGCAGCTAACAACTGTCTATAACTCCAGTCCCAGAGGATCCGACAGACTCTGCCGACCTCCATGGGCATTGCATGACACAGGTGCGCTTACCTATATGCAGGCAGTACACATACACACATAAAATAAAAATAATAAAGAAAAAAAA